TCTACTACCTATTATCAAACTAAAAAAAAATTATACATGGCCCCATTCGCTTTTCCATCAATGAAGTCACTCACACGCTTTAACAAGCAGCACACATTCAAATCAACTCCTTTTATTTCAGGACCGACATGTTCAATCTTTTTGTTCATCCTCCTGCATCGATCTTATGACTGTTGACTCATAAACACTGGACCAGTAGGTACACACTTCCACTAGTTGTGTGTTCTTATTTAATTTAATTACTGATACCATGAGCAGCGTAAGATAAATATTTAGACCAACTTTAGTGCATCAGATGTATCTCCTATTTGTTAGAAGAAATAAATTGAGATCGTAAGATAATTTCATCAAAAAATGTAATAAGTATAATGTATATCATTAGCTATATATACTATATAGTATCTCTTATGATAGTTTTACTAAAATGTTAACATGAATGCACCAAGACCAAGTACAGGATCCAAAGCTTTCCCTCCAGGCATATCTTGAATCGAGTCCTTTTAATTTTGTATACAAAATTTTTGTTCTATTTATTCTTGTATATAATTTGACATTATCGAAACTTTCTGTACATACTGCCAACCTAACTACCTAAGTTATACGTTCTACAGTATGAAATGATATGATATGTGAAGAATAGCATATCATAAAGTTAAGAAGATACAAGTAATGATATGATATGTGAAGAATATGGTAAGCGAAAAGCATTTTCCTATTTTTATCAACTCAACAAGAATATATATATATATATATATATACGCCCAATATATCATATATGTTCTATGCATGCTTTAAAGTTTCCTTTGGGAATTTTGAGGGATATTCTGTCGGAAGATTACTGGCCCTACCTCCATTCCCTTTTGCGTGTAAGAGAGAGATTGAGAAAACGTGTGTATATTTTTAAAATTTTCAGCCAACAACACCTTATTATAAAATAAAGGAAGTGGGAAATAAAATGAAGAACAAATAACAATTATAAAAAATAATAAGTTAATTTTAGTTTTGACTTGATCAAGCCAAAACTTATAAATAAAATCCGTCAAAACATCACACATATATAATTATTATAAAAAAATATTATATACTTCAGCTTTAAGTGGGGTGTGGAGACGACCGCTCCCAACTTATTCAGTGTAGGTCGGCGGACTAATATGCTGTAGGACGACTGAGCGTTCACCACCAGGTATCGGACAGTGATAGTCTTCATGTGGTCTCCCTGGCCGAAAGAGACCACTTCATCATCTTTCCTGCCAGGTCGGGCTTCTGTAGTACTTGTCTAATCGGATGATCTGTTCGGACTACCACCTCATAACTCTGGAAATAATGTCTCAGCTTCCGCGCTGTAACCAGTATTGCAAGAGCTAATTTCTCGATCTTCTGATAACGAACCTCTGCTCCTTGTAACACCCTGCTAACAAAATAAATGGGCGATTGGGAGTTACCTTTTTCCTGTACTAAGACTGCACTGATGGCGCTATCGGATGCCGACAAATACATCAACAAAGGGAGATCGGCCTGCGGTTTGGAGAGGATTGGCGGTGAGGTGAGAGCCTGCTTGAGTTCGCCGAATGCTCTTTCACATTCATCTGTCCACGCAAACCGGTCGTTCTTGCTCAAACATTGGAACAAGGGGAGCGACTTGTCCGCTGCCTTTGAAAGGAACCGAGAGAGGGAGGCCATCCTCCCTGTCAACTGCTGGACCTCTTTTACCGTCGCGGGACTTCTCATACTGATTATAGCGGAGCACTTATCAGGATTTGCCTCAATGCCAGGATGAGTCAGCAAGAAACCGAGGAACTTTCCTGCTTGGACGCCGAAAGAGCACTTTGCGGGGTTCAATTTGAGCTGGTAGCGTGCTAAGGTGTCGAACGACTCTTGCAAGTCAGAAAAATGACGACATACGCTAGGCGACTTGACAACCATGTCGTCCACGTATGCCTCCACATTCCTTCCTAGTTGATCGGCCAACACCTTGTCCATAAGCCTCTGGTACGTCGCTCCTGCGTTCTTCAAACCAAAAGGCATCACCTTGTAGCAGTAGGTGGCTTGGTCGGCCATGAATGCTGTTTTATCCTCGTCGGCAGGGTGCATCCTAATCTTATTATACCCCGAGTACGCATCCATGAAACTCAATAATTCGTACCCCGATGCATTGTCGACTAGACAATCTATGTTGGGCAGCGGGTATGAATCTTTTGGACAGGCTTTGTTCAAATCGGTGAAGTTCGTGCACATCCTCCAGTTTCCGTTGCTCTTCCGTACCATTACCACATTCGCTAGCCAAGTCGGGTATTGGATTTCCCGAATGTGACCAGCTGTCAATAATTTCTTCGTCTCCTCGGCTATGGCCCTTTTTTTATCCTCCCCAAACTTTTGTCGTTTTTGAATCACCGGCTTCGCCTTGGGGTCGACCATGAGACGGTGACATAGGAAGTCGGGATCAATGCCTGGCATGTCGCCAACACCCCATGCAAAAGCCGACACGTTGCTCTTCAATACGGTCAGCAATCCTTCCTCATCTTCTTTAGCCAAAGACACACCAATCTTGACCGTTTTTCCCTCGGCTAAGCTAACCTCCTTCACATCTTCTGCTGGGGCTGGTCGGGAATCGAAGTGAGTCATCCTCGGATCTAACTCGATTGACTGGACCCCCCGATCAACCTGTGTCACATATAATTGTCTCCTCGCCCTCAGGCTATCCTCGTAGCACTTCCTTGCGACTTCCTGATCAACACGGAGGACCCCAACTTTTTCGTTGGGTAAAGGGTACTTCAGCTTCAAGTGGGGTGTGGAGACAACTGCTCCCAACTTATTCAATGTCGGTCGTCCGACTAGCATGCTGTAGGACGACTGAGCATTGACCACCAGGTATCGGACAGTGATAGTCTTCATGTGGTCTCCCTGGCCGAAAGTTGTCTCCAAGTCGGCGTATCCCCTAGCTGTTACCTGATCACCTGCAACTTATATATTTAATACTATAAATTTATGTATTAATATTGCCCTACTATTTAAAATTTCTGGATCCGTCACTGTATATATGTATATATATTTGATATATAATTATATAAAAATTTAATATTAATTTTAAATAAAATTTAACATATTTTATATGTTAATATAACATATATTTACACTTTTTTTAATAATATATTAATATATATAATATTTATTATATAGATAAAAATAATTTTTAGTAATAATTTTTGTCTCATCATAGACTACGTATCACTACAATTTTCTTGTCGTGAGTGTTGGTGAATTTCTTATTGTTTTCATATGTGATGTTAACTGTATTTTCTAATTAAATTATAATATTTTATTTCTAGTGTTTGACCGATACATTACTAAAAGCGGGATTAATTTATATTTCAATGTCCTAAGGAGGACAATATACGTGGGTGCGGGTGAAATTTCTTTTTGTTTTCATTTTTGATGTTAGCTTTATTTGTTTAATTAGATTATAACATTTTATTTTTAGTGTTTGATTTTTGTTATACAAGAACACCTTTTAAACCAGCGACAGTCAAAGGTCTTATTATGTTTTCAACAAACTAATTTATAAGATAATTTTATCAAATTTATTCTTTCACTCAAGTTTGACGTGATAACGAGATATTTGAATAATATATATATATATATTATGTTTTCAACAAACTAATTTATAAGATAATTTTATCAAATTTATTCTTTCACTCAAGTTTGACGTGATAACGAGATATTTGAATAATATATATATATATATTATGTTTTCAACAAACTAATTTATAAGATAATTTTATCAAATTTATTCTTTCACTCAAGTTTGACGTGATAACGAGATATTTGAATAATATACCATTCTAATTTTGTTATCATTGAACACCAAAAAAGAATTTTTCACTTTCACTTTTTGTTGTTTTTCCTATTTCTCTTTTATTTATTCTATCTAATATCTAATATATCCTATTTTGGAGGTAGACGTTAATGGATACTATTACCCTTGATTTAGTAGTAGTCACTTGAAAGAAAGAGAGACAGAGAGAGAGGAGTGGGGTGGCCACCTACCATGATTGCAACTTCAAAAACTAAACAGTGGACATGTTTAATCAAGTAAAAATCCTATGTGGTAGATGATGACTCAAATTGTAAATTACATTATTATTTCTTCCCACCGGTTATTATATATAATGGAACCACTGGTCTTTTGGTCTGATTATAGTCTTTTTTTTTTGTTCGTCCTTGGAGTATCCAGGGCCGACAGCAGTGACTAATCTCCTCGCTACGTTGGAGGCACCTCAAAAGGTGGGATAGTTTGAGGTGGGATAGCTGGCCCCAAGATTTAACGCGGCTGCATACACAAGACAGGATTCGAACCCCTGACCTTACTTAAACGTGGATCAACCCCTACCGCTGAACTCCTGACCTTGCTTAAGCTGGCCCCAAGATTTAACGGGTCTGATTATAGTCTTAAATTTCGCAATAGATAAATAAAGAATAAAGATTAGCAGATATATACTTTTACTTTAGATAATTTTTAGTATTATTTGTTTGAGTATATTTTAAAAAGAGAAAAGTAAGTGAGAAAAAATTGTGAGAATAATAAAAAATTTAATTGTTTAGTAAAAGAGAAAAGTAGGAGAAGAAAGAAAAAAATTATAAGACCATATTTAAATATAATTTCTTTACTAATCAAATAAAATAAAATCTCTAAAAGGTAAAATGATATACTATCTTTTTATTTAAATTATTTAAATATAGTATTAGAGGTAAATATATTTTTAAACACACTTGCCTTTTTCTTTTTATTTTTTCATATCTGTCTCTTAAATTAAATAACCTAAAAACTTACAGTTATTTTTCATTGATCTATTCTATTTTTTTTACTACACTTCTTTCCTCTAAGATTCTTTTACCACCCAGAGAAAACATTAGTAAAAGAAAATCAGTTTGATAAGTAATATTTTTAAAATATAATAGATATTAATGAAACTTTAGAGTGCAGAAAACAGTGTGCGATAAAATAAATTTTAAGCTTGGTGGAGTCGGCATTTCCTGCTGCTATATTATTCCATTAAAGCACGATGAGATACATGACTACGCGCTTTCCAACTTTTAGGTCGCAACAGAGAGATCTTCTTTTTCATGTCTCAACCTACTTTATGTCTCCTTCTTGACTCTTGTTGCTAGTTTTGGTTCCCTTGAACAACAGTATAATCATGCGTATACTATTAATAGAATACGCAAAAAAGAAAAGCTAGCAAGCAAAGCTTTGATACAAACACTCTCACATCACAAAAGTAAAAAAGGTAAATAAAACATAAAGAAACTTCCGATGGGAATGCGCCCAGTGCAGTGCAGGACGAATTCTCACTCACAAGTCACAAAGTTTATCCAAATGCATACATACTAAAACACACATATATAGATATAGACACATGGTCTCATAACAAAGTAGCCCTATATATCAGGTCGTTCTCAATTTAACTAATTTTCATTAATTATCCAGATTCTAACTACTTATGTCTGATGCGAACCCCATTTCCTAATCCATTATATTACTTTAATTAATATTATAATAATTATTTAGAGTACGTCCATAAACTTCTCCTTATAAGTTTATAAGTACTCTCGTATTAACTTCTCCAATACATAACTATAATTTACGAAGAATTTATTTTTCTTTTTCTTTTGTTATGAATTTATAGAGGATCAAAAGTTCCACAAATTTTCTCCAGCACAATATTCGAAGGAGTCATCGAAGTGTGGAGTCATTCTGGGAGGGGATAGCAGCATTCCCTCAGCCATGTCATGCAGCAAACTTGGCATGGAGAATATGGCTTCCTCGTCCAGAAACTGAGTTTCAAACGAAGGAACAGACTCAACTGCTGCGTTAGTTGTGGATGCATTAACATTGTTGTGGTTGCTGGCTTCAGGCTTCATGAGTTCGGCTGCAGCAATGGCAGCGGTGCGGATGTCCTCAGGGGATTTGGAGGCGGGAACCGGGTACCTGCCAACCCAGTCAGGGAAGTTGAGAACTGCTTCGCCGCCTTTCAGAGCCAGCGCCGCCACGTCGTAGGCCGCAGCCGCCATCTCCGGCGTCCGGAACGTCCCCAGCCATATGCGGTTTGTCTTACGTGGCTCACGGATTTCGGTTACCCATTTTCCTCCGCGGCACCGGATTCCGTGGTACATTGGGTGCCTCTTCGACGATGACGATGATGATGCCATGCGATCAGAACAAGGCTTTTGGCACGTGGGGAAATGAAAATGGGAAAAAGAAAAGGAAGCACTAGGCAAAGTAGGCGGGTCTAGCTAGGAAAGGAATGGAATTTGGATTTGTTGCTTCCTAGTTTAATTGAGACTTGAGAGTAATAGGGTCAACTATATTTATAGTATCACATACATTATATCCACATCATGAGACAGTTTGGTGGTATGTTTTAAGATGACTATCTAACTTGATTCTGTTCTTGTTTAAATACATGGAGAAATTAAGGAAGAGGTAAGCATAAGACAATGTTGTAGGATGCAGTGAAACCGTGGGAATTTCGCGGGGTAACTGAGTAGTAATGATTTTCTTCGTACTTGAAAACGGTGGCGCATAGCTGGGCTCCATTTTTAAGGTTTTGGAGAAAAGGCAGTGGGAAGCAAGAATTATGTAGTTAGCTAGAAAGAATGACAATGACTATTTGACAACCCAATAACAGGAAATGTGAATTTTTGTGGCACATATAAAGCACTAGTGTAGATGATGCGCACGACACACTGGATAGCCGCAGCTAGCAATGCTAGTTATTTAATTTCATCAAGACCTTAATGTCACATCTTTATTTATTTCATTTTCCCCAATATATAACTCGTGTCATTCACTCGGTCGGCTAGCTGTATGTATATGTAGGGTTCCTCTCACCTCACCTGTCTTAATTTGTAAATCAGCAGGCCAATCAATAT